GATTAAAAAATTAATCTAAAAAACCACGTTTTCAAAAAGCAAAAAATAACCTTAAACGTGGTGTGCATCTATTTCATTTGTATTTCACTTCTTCCCAACAATCTCCATGCGCACCACGTTTAAGGTTATTTTTTGCTTTTTGAAAACGTGGTTTTTTAGATTAATTTTTTAATCTACTATAATTATTTTATTCTTTTTAAAAAATATTCTTAAAATTAATTTTTTCACAAAAGACTGCATTGTCATCAGTTTCTAGGCTATCCTGAAAGTTTCAGCTTGATAGCTAGTCAGGAAGTGAGTGAAATTTTAGTTTCAAAATTTGATCCGGACAAACAAACAGACAAGAAAGTGAGTTAATAAAAACGTGTTAATTAATTAGAAAAAAAATGTTCCAGGGGGTGGGATTGAACTCGGACCTCTGGGACCAATTCAGTTCACCATGGGTTTTTTTCTTGGGGCCAAGGAAAACCTGCTCAAAGTTTTATTATAGAAATTTACTATAATTATTTTATTCTTTTTAAAAAATATTCTCAAAATTAATTTTTTCACAAAAGATTGCATTGTCATCAGTTTCTAGGCTATCCTGAAAGTTTCAGCTTGCTAGCTAGTCTGGAAGTGAGTAAAATTTGAGTTTCAAAATTTGATCCGGACAAACAGACAGACAGACAGACAGACAAGAAAGTGAGTTCATAAAAACGTGGTAAAATTGAATGACGGTAAATCGAAATAAAAATTGTGCACGAACCTCATCAAGGGACAGGGCATAAGTCAGCGGCTTACTGCACGACTGAATCGTAAAGGGAACATCGCTGTCACCGATGCTATGCCTCTGACCATCAACCGTGCACAAACTGACTCCCCAAAGATCCCGGTCCATCTTGGCCAACTGCGGGATGTAAGTCGCCTGAACGCCGTCATCAGTGCGACAACACTCCTCGTAAATCGTATCGATCGTCGCGCACAAATCCGTGAAGTCGGGTACACGCATTTCGTTCTTCAACGCTCGTGACACTAAACCCATGCTGCCTCGGAGAGCCAGATTCAGCAAGTCCTTCTCCAGAACCAAGGTTTTCACAGACTCCGCACAAGATTCTCTTTTGATTTCATCTAAGGTCCTCATAAAGGGCAGGAGTCGAGGATCTGAGAGGGGGATTCCTGTGCTAGTGATGGCCTTAAAAATGTCAACGACCCGCACTTGATCGTCGTCATGCTTGAACGCCTCGAAAATAAGGTCTCCAAAATTCTGCCGAGATTTCGGTCTGCGCCCATCAAAAATTAAAAATTAATAAATACCCTCCGCATCGCGAGAAATATTAGTCTTTTTTTTTTAATTAAAAGGCGACCAGTATAAAATATTCCGCTATAGCAAATGTACCTGATCCTTTCTGAGACTGCGCAGAATCGCAAACCGGAAGAAGAGTCCTAGCTCGAACAGTTCTATTCATTGACAAAAATATGGAGCTATTACATTCAAGCACTAAATATACAGTAATCATTTATCAGGCATTGTGAGTAAAATTAAAGTTTTGAATTAAGCGTCGCTCACCAAAATATTGAGTCTGTAAAATCGTACCCCCGGAAAGCCAATTTCAGTGAGTTTCAATTACAGCTGAAACACGAACAAGGATCAAAATTAGCTTTGAATATCGCATACGCGGAAAAAAGTACTGCATCTGTAATTTAAAAAACAAAAAAAGTATTTTAATTATTTTGTGAGAAAAATCCGAACAGGACTCCATGAACTATAATACAATCAAGTACTGCGATGTTCACCAATTAGAAATGTAAGGCAGATAAACTAAATACAAATGAGTATAAGACAAAAACACAATTGCGATAGGATCTGATTATACATGTGTCCACACTGCAACAATTACTTGCGCAGATTTTTGGCATATATTTGCAATGTCACAATCCGCGAAGTCAATTTTTGGACAACCTGGAAAATTAATACAGTACTGTACATACCATGAGTTTCTTAAATGTCATCCCGAAAAAAGTGAAGATCCTATTCTGAGGCACACATTAAGCGTCCATAGAAGCAGGTAAAACTTCAAGGCTACAGTATTGTACATTCAACCCCAGTTCGACATTCAGTAACTCCCAGTTAACGTATTTTTGTATAACTTACCGCCTCTGAAGGCAGTTTTTCGTCCCGTCTAACCTACCAAATCTGTCTAATGTACTTCAGCAGGCAGATGCACATGGACATGAGTCCATCACATCCCCCATAGCTTCCCAACTTAATTAAAAAAAAACCTTATTATTATTGCTGTGGATGTGTGCGTGTGTTGAGTTTCTGAGTTATTGGTTTTAATCTTGCTTGTTTCGCAGGTATAAAAAGTGAAAATGTCTAACAAGATGGGCAACAAACAAACTCATCACTCTTGAAAAGAAAAGTGATAATTGAAAGAATCGGAATTGGTGAAAAACAAATTGATGTAGCAAAGGAGTATGGACGGCATAAGATAAGCATCAATACAATCTGGTCAAACAGGGACAAAATTGTGGCTACTTTTGAGACCACTGCAAAGGGTATCTCAAAAATCCGCAACAAAAGGCAAAGACTTTGTTGTGGACTGGAGAAGCTTCTCCTCATGTTGATTGAAGACATGCAAATGAGAGGTGATCCAGTGTCTGGGGAGCACATCTGCATCAAGGTCAGGAAAATATATAAAAAAATTTAATCAAGGACTACCCTGGAGAAACTAATGACAATCACAAAGAAAATGAAGAAGGTGACAGAGAAGAAAAGAAAGGATTCAGAGGTTAGTACTGTAAACACAATGAGTGGTCTTTTAGGGAAATATTAAAATAATGAAATTCTCTCAATTTCTTAATTTAAGCTAGCAGTGGCTGGTTCCACAGATTTAGAAAAAAGGACTGGAATCAGGAATGTCAAGATGACAGGAGAAGCAGGGAGTGCTGACCATGAGGAGGCTGCAAACTTCCATCACACATTCAAGGAAATCATAGATGAAGAAGACTAAAATGCCAACCAAGTTTTTAATGCTGATGAGACTGGCCTATTTTTGAAGAGAATGCCTGATCGCACTTACATCACCCAGGAGCAGAAGAAGATGCCAGGAGAGAAGCTCATGAAGGAGAGGCTCACCATCCTCAACAAACCAAGCACAATTTTCTCTAGTTTGAAGACTCAGTTCTGTTGTTACATTACTACACAAATTCAGAAGGGAAAATCAAGTAAAATAATGAAATTGAAACGCAACCTACTCCAAAATTCTAAGACAAACCCCATCAGACGAATCATTCAAGACAGAAACGGTTTTTTTTTAAGGTCAAGGATAAGCTTTCATAAATGGGCTCACTGCGTGATATTAGGAATTTTCCTAGCTTCAGCGAAGGGATTCGGCGGGGGTTTCGAGCTGTCGGAAGTGACGTCTTCGGGGTTCCCGCGATTTCGGAGGTCTGTGCCAGAAGAACCCGAATCTTCCGAAAAGCGGGCCAAGCGAGAGGAATACGACGACCACAAATTCGATGCTTTTCGCGCACACCACGAATTGGAAGATTGAACAGCGTAGCGAAACATTCTCTATCTGACAACCACCAACTCCGCATAAATCTAGAATGAAGGACAGAAAATAAAAAAAAAATTGTCTCCTCGAAAAACGAGAACAAGAAATGAAAATGCAACGATAGACACAAAAAATGTAATCACAATCGTCCTGGAAGTCCGATCTCCACGATTCTTCAGCGAATATACACAACACCGCAACATTGCGAGCAAAATATTCTTCCAAACTTTTGTCAAGACTGCTATAGCACCAATACTTGTTACACCACGTCCTAAAACGCTACTACAAATAACAGTCACTTGAAAAATACAGTATTCTAAAAATATTTCACTCCAAGAATATATTTTTTTTTTGCTTTGTACGGACATCAAAATAAATACGATTTCACACGAGAAATTGTGCCAAAACCGTTGAGCAAGTTTAAAAAAGTCAAGAGTGCACATTAGAGAACAGCAATTCAAATGACAACCCTGTGCAAATTAAAATAATCTCAAGCACCGAAAATTACTCATAATTGTTGATTTGGAGTTCCGAAAATGTCATCAACTTTTATCACTTTAGTCGAGAATATACCTCTATCAAAAACCTTTGGAAGTAATGAATAAGCGCAAAAGACCCGCGTGAAAAAAAAAACTCACGTTTCACGAAAAAAATAATTGCAGAAATTAAATTTGATCAAACAATGGTCTTTCCCTTCGTCATAGAGGAGTGCCCGGTAATTACACTGTATCACATTTCCCATTTGCACGACAGACCTGAGTGCGAATCCATCCACGTTTTCTGTTTTCGAAGACCATAGGGTTATTCAGAAGTCTTTCAATTCAATGAGTCTTGGGCATACTGAGATTCAAGCGAACAATAGCCTCCTCTCTCAATTTGAACTTCTGAATCTTCCCAGACGTTGTAGTAGGGAGAACATCAGTCAACAAAATGTATCTCGGGATTTTGAAATGCGCCAATTTCCCTTTGCAAAACTCCTTCAGATCCGAGGGATTCAGTTGGGCACCGGGCCTGACCTTGATCCAGGCACACAATTCCTCCCCTAAACGGTCGTCAGGGACGCCAATCACTTGAGCTTCTGATACCGATGGATGAGTCAGCAACATTTCTTCAATTTCCGCTGGATACAAGTTTTCACCGCCTCGAATCACGGTGTCCTTCAGGCGTCCGACTACACTCACGTAGCCGGATTCGTGAATCACAACTAAATCACCGGTCCGGAGCCATTTCTGGCCAGCCATGATTTCTGAGGTTTTTTGGGGGTTTTTCCAATACCCAAGGAATGTGACGTAGCCTCGGACAAAAAGTTCACCGGGAATGCCGCGTTCAACAACGTTTCCTGGCGAGGAAGTCCGGAAGCGATGGTTAGCGCAGGAAGATTTATTTACATGGAAAGTAATTACAGTATTTCCTCTTTAAATTCAGAACTCAGATTCTTGACGTTTTATTCAGTTTTTTTTTATATTCCCTCACCACGATTTTCTTCAAGAGGATTTAACATCAATTTTCTAAATGAAAAATAAAAGTGTTATGATTTCGGCAAGTTTTGGGTTGGTGATGGTGAACGTCAAATCTTTTGAAAATACCCATTGATATAAAAGCAGAAGTTGCCCAAGTCAGAGCTGAAATCAAAGAGAATCCTCGGAAAAAGAATAGAGACTCGCTTCAAGACTCCTTTCTGAACTCGAGACTCAGAAACCGGGGCCCTGAAGAATACTTTTTCGTTCGGGAACTTTTTTGACTCACTGACTCACCTTCCAAATCTTTCACCATAAGCTCTACGTGCTCCGAAGGAAAACCAACGGTAGTAGCCCGTATCTCCTCCGAATCCGTGGGAAAGCTTTGACACGTCACAGGACTCGTTTCCGTCATACCGAAAAATATCGAAAAGTTCTTCATGTGCATTCGGTGGCGTACTTCCCGCACCAGAGGTTCCGGGCAAGGGGATCCTGCCATTGCACCGGTTTCAAGCGAAGTTAGATCGTACTTTGAGAAATTCGGCCTATCCAACATGTCGATGAACATCGTCGGTGTGCCGTAGAGTGACGTGCATTTTTCTGCTTCCACAGCTGCCAGAGCAGCTTCCGCATCGAAACCAGCCGAGCAAACGACGCTCGTGCCTACAAATGTGTAAAAAATTTTTTTAATGAGAAATATGGGATCCACCCACGGCATTGTTCCCCAACTCATGGTCCGCGGACCAGTGCCAGTCCACATACGTTTTTTGGCGGTCCGGCGGGAAATTTTCTTCAGCATAATAAATTTATCAGAAATAGCAATGAAGTTTCTTATCTTTAGCTGAAATTTCATGAAGACAATGGCCAGTTGAAATTATCTGATAGAAAATAAAAGTCGTCCTTTTTCCTAATCACGCTTCAGACAAATTTCCACCTGCTGAAATAAATAATTTTTATTAGTCATTTTAAAAACCATTCTTCAAGCCCACCTTTCTAATTTTTTGAAGACATTTGTTCTTTACTTTTGCAAAAAGGCATCCACTTCTTAAATACCTGCCATGAAGTCTTCCAAACAAAACTTTATCGAGTCTTCAAAAATGTTCTGAAATTTTGCCGGTCCACAGAAAACTTTTTCATGGAACTTTTCCGGTCTAAAATTTTAAATGGAAATTTGACCGGTCCGCGGGTTAAAAAGATTAAGGAACACTGATCTACAGTATTTCTAAGCGCAAGCTTACTTCCAGGAATCTCCGGCACTTCAAGCCTGAATTCTCCATTAATTCAGAAATAATTATTTCAGTACAGTACTTCTCCCAAAATAATCTCACCGAGGCAGCATCATCTAAATAAAAAAGCACCAATTCAACGCAACCTAATCAACATCACGTACCAAAAACAATACGGCACCAATAAGGAATCAGGCGACATCTGCCCGGAAAAATCGAAGAGCAAAAGACATTGAATGATGAACTACTGTACTGTACAGGTAAAATATCAGGAGTATAGTATGGTTATCAAACTTTTGCTTGATCAGAAGTTGTTCGACGTTTACATACGATAAATGGTGAAACAAGGTCCAATTTTCGAAACACAACCAGGGATATTCGTCTCAATCACTCTTTTTCTTTCAAGTATTGTACTGTATTTCGCCCATCTGAATCCTGTTGCTCACTCTGCTTGATTACTTGAACAATATTATTTGAATTCAAATGATCAGAAAAACTTGCTCTAGAACATTTTTCAACCATCAGAACAGCAGTCTAGGAACACAACTACGCAGATTACTTTGGCATTCCTTGCAGTTGTATGTAACAAAATCTCAAAAGCGGTACTGTACATGTAATACACCGGAAGATCAACCTCGTTCATCCGGAGAAAATGGGCTTTTTTTCCGAACTGAGCAAAAACGAAACACGAAAAACAAAATGAAAATTGCAAATATACACTAATCGGAAATCGTCGACAAAAACGTAACACTCACCAGAATGAAGCACACTGGCGATTGTTCCAGCAACGCAACCGAAACAATGATACAAAGGGACCGGCAGACAAATTTTATGATGTTTCTCTCCATAGCCGATCCTCTTTCCAAGGAAGAACGCGTTGTTCACAATATTATGATGAGAAAGGACAGCTCCCTTGGGCAAACCCGTCGTACCGGAAGTGAACTGAATATTCACGGGATCATCGAAATGGATTCTTTTGGCAATCTTCTCTAGTCTCTCTTTGGCCGCGTCGTTGTGTCCCTTCGCTTCAACTTCCGACATGGTCAAATATCCGAGTTTAGATTCTACACTCGTAGAACCCATCATCACGACGAAGTCGAGGTTCGTTCTGGGCACGATTTCGGAAAGCATGGCGAAGTAGTCCAATGTTTTGAACCCGGGCGCGGCGATGATACCGCGAATTTCGACTGCTTTCACGCAATGCTCCAACTCCCGGGTCTGATAAGCTGGGTTCACGTTGACTGAGATCAGACCAGCTTTGGCCAACGCAAACTGGCTCAGATACCTGTTAAATGCAAAATAAATGACAATACTGTATACAGTACTGTACATAAATGTCAGGGAAAACCGCTGTTCAGAGGAAAATCGTCCCATTCTTTCAAAAGATATTCTGGAGGAAAGGAAATTTTCTTGAATGCAACATAACGCTTTGTGACCTCTGAAGTATATTTCAAATGTTTTCGAGGCGTGATTTATTAACATGGTTCACTCAATTTAGTAAGTAAACCTTTAAAGCATTTTATTTATGCCGGCCTAAGTAAAATAATCCAATTTCGCCTTACTCCAGTATAGCGATGTTCTACCGCGTTTTGTTTCTGCTTTCAAAGATCGTTGGATTGGCATTGCAATACTGTAAATCTTTGTACCCGAAAATATTTTTGCATTTAGTGATTGAAAACGAACGTTTCCTCGAAAAAATTCACCAAGGCTTATTTTGAGGGAAAGTCCCGTTCTCTGTTGAAATGAGGGGCGAAAACTCAGGAATTCTGTTAGAAATGCGTGTGAATGTCTTGAATCATCAATCTTAAAAGTACAGTATTCGGAAATAACACCACCTCATCAGTTAGTGTTAAATCCTCTTCATCGTCAACTTGAGTGAAGAACACACTGATGAACTCATAATTCAAATTTACCCATCCGTCATTCGAAAATTCAAGATTTTAATTCCCTTTTCAAGTTTGGACTGGAATTAATCACTGGATCACGTTATTAACAAAGTCTGCATTCAACACTAACAAAACTGACGATAAAACAAACCATTCCGCGTACAACCGATTAAAAAAAAAAAAGATGAAAGAGAATGAAAACCGACCAGATTTCAAGACAACATACCAGTGGAAGCTGTTCGGGCCCCATATTCCGACACGGTCTCCGGGTTTCAACCCAACTGCGAGCAAACCAGCAGCAAAATCGTCCACCTCCGTCTTCAGTTTACCGTACTTGATCCTCGCGTTCTCGTACGTCGACACGAAGGCATCTCTGTCTGGGAATTTCTCCGCAGTTTCGTCAATCAAGTCTCCGACCCGAGAACCCAGCAATGGCGACGAAGAAGGGCTCGAAATGTAACTCGCGATCAGTCGACGTCCGCATCCCGTCGCCGCGACACCAACGCGATAATGCCACATGACACAAGGAAAAAAGAAAAAGGCAATCTAGAAACTTTGACGAAACGAAAAACAAAAGACTTTGACGCGCGTAAATGCTCTCGGTTGGTCAAGAAAAAAAAAAGGTCACGCACATTCGGAACTTTCCCGGAAACACGCGCGGCATGATTTCACGGAGTTCCGAAATCATGCAATGAATGATTTGTCAACGCCGTGAAAACTTGCTACAATTTTAAAATTTTTCTGGTGACATCCCTGAGAAATTTACGAATTTACAGTATTTCCAAACGTCCTTAGACTCGCGAAGAAACTTTTCAAAAGCCATCCGCACAGAGAAGTTATAAACATTGATCAATTATTTTTCTTTTGACGTCTTCAACCAATTTTACTTAAATCTAAGGGTTTAAAACACACATGTGTAATAAAATAAGCAATTGAAGAATACGACAATGGTGAAGAGCAGCTGTGCTCCGGTATGCTCATCAATGATTGACTGGATCACGAAGGAAATGCTCCAAAAATTAAAAAAAATTGCGGGCAACACATTTTGAAGACAGTACTTATTTTTAAATGAAGAAATGTTCGTCTGTGACAGAGCAGCTGAGAAGAGAAAATAGTATTTTATTAATACAGTACCATAAATATTAATTTCGAATTTGGAAAGATCATTGAAACGAAGGATTAAAACATGGAACCCTTCTTTACATCAAACATGCCCTAAGTTTGTTTTGTGGAGGGGAAATAATGAAGTTTGTATTTAACCCACTTCATTTTTCCAAATAACGTAAAGCTTTTATGAATTCTTATACTGTATACATTTTTTTTCGTTCTGTATCGCTTTTGATTCACGGTGATCCAGAACGGGGTTTTAAAGGGTGATGCACTTCGAGATTGACGCGAATATCAATTCAGTGACATCATTATGAAACTTTATCTTCGAATAAATTCCTTCATGTGTTTAGTAACAATTTTTAAATATTCAGTAATCTCTGATGCTTGTTTATACAGTAATTTTACAGGTAAAGGATCAAGTCTTCAGTCCATATGATCTCATTTCAAGGCCTTTATTCAGAATCCCAAGGACTTTTGAAAATACTCTCGTACACGATATTTCGCTTCAATTTGACCAAAAATAAATTGGAAATGAGCGTGTATCACAAATTAAATATTTTAATCCCAGAGATTCGTGCAATAAAAATATACCAGTGACTTTTTCGCAACAAGGAAGAAACCCTCCACCGACGACCCAATTAACGATCACAACCTCACGACCGCACGTCGAACAAATGCGTCGTCTCGCCGCCCTGAATCGAAAGATCGAGATCTTCAAACTCCCCAATCAACGAGTCACCGGAAACAAAATGTGCAGTGACGTGGGCCTCGAATTCCTTGAATGACATGGACACCGGGAAGACTTGTTCGCACATGGGACAAACCCGGGTGGAGGTGGAGCACGGCTCGACACAGACCATGGTGGCACAATTGTCGATGACCTCGTCGGCGAAACTTTCCGTCGTGCCGACGGATTTGTCGCTGTTGGCCAGCTTGGAAGAGTCGCACCGGGAACATGTTGAATGGTGAGAAGAGTCGGAATGTTTCGCGGTTCTGTCAGATACAGGGAGTTCGACGCTCGAACAATCACGGTCTTGTTCCCGATCAAAATCCTTTGAAAAGAATAAACCAGTTCAGGGATTGAACAAAATGAAAGAAAAAACATGCGGGGAGACTTCAAAAATTTTTCAAGCGTTTGGCGTAAAAATAATGTTTACCTGCAGTCTGTTAGATGATGATAAACTGTAATGATAAAATTGGAAAGATGCCGTTTTTATAAGTCGCGGCTCACGATTTCTGCACGCGAAATTTCCCTTAAACCCCCATCATTATTCGTATCTGGATACGACGCAAGGGTTTGAAATTTTTCTCCTATCAAAAGATACGGTATCGCGACTTTTTCGACGATGTTCGTCGCGAATCCTTCAAGAAGCAACGAACAAAACATCGAGAAAATTTTCCAAGCTATGAAAGGTTAAAATGAGATGAACTATTGAAGCAGCTTATTTCATCACAAAACCTTTTTTCACGTGTCAAAAAATTACTGATAACCGAAAAAATCTACACTGTTCCCGTACTTGAATATCGGATAATAAAAAACAGAATGAAATCAAAACCAAGGCCTGATACATCGAGAACTGCAGAAGTAGGACTGGTTAAGGGAAAGACTAATATAGTAGAATCTCGTTACAATGAATGTCTATACATCCAAGTAATGCTTACAACGAATTCGCTTTTTTCAGTACTGTACCTGTCCAATGGACAAAACGTTAGTTCGATTTTGTTTTAACGAATTGTAATTCATAACGAAAATTTGTCAAGGTCCCAAACGCTTCGTTTTAACGATATTTTACTGTAATTCTTGTAACTTCTGTCTAAAACCCCGATCACTTCAATTGAAAATACATTACTACTTTACTGTACTAATTTTCAATAATTTCCAACAATAATATAAATTCAAAGGCTGACGGCCCAGAGGATGAATCAGAGCAAATTCAAAATACAAGTACTGTACCTGCATATTTGTAACTTCCTTTCACGTCTACACAACAACAAAAGAACAATTCATCGTCATTGACGGGTGTGGGAAAATTGATTCCGGTACATGAATTAGAAATTTCTCAATGCTCAGTAACGATTCATACACGTAATATCATCAGAAAAATTTCCAGGATCAATTTATCTTTGGAGCTGGAAAAAATAGTGTTTCCGAAATCCACTGATTAATCGAATTCCACTCAGACTATTACTGAAGACGCGTCGATGGATGAGTGATTTTACAAGCTTTCCATAGACCAGTATTTCCGCTCACCTTCTCACAATCTAGTCTCAAAATCTTGTTGCCAGCATTGCGTTCGACGAGTCGTAAGTAGTCGAGGCATCGTTTCAGCAAGGTTCGTTGCCGAAGAGCCGTATCACGCAGTCGAATGCCCTTCTGATCCGACTTGGACAAAGTGTCGTGCAACAAAGAATCGTCATCACTCGTCGGCACTTTCTGGTCCAACACATCAACCACTAGAAACCCGTTTTTGTCTTCCCTCTCCTTCAAACTCGGCGGGTCCGCGGGAACTTCCAAACCCGTTCCAGAATCTTTGGCAACACTTTTTCTTCCTCCTGCACAACAGACGATACAAAAAATTTAAATGGTAAAATTTTTGCCGCTCTAATGAAAAAAAACGTCGGGGTAGCTATTGTTCATTTCGGAATTAGGATTTCCCTTAGATTTCGTACCATTCAAACAAATAGCCTTAGCACCTTTTTCAGACGCTAATCTAAGTAAAATAAAAGAGAAGGCTGTAGGTTCTCCCAGAGCCTTGCAATATTTTCGAGGACCCCCGCTTTCAAGTCGTGATTTAGAAAAAAAAGTCTTGAAGTTTAGAAAAATGAAAAGTTAATGAACATTAAAATATTACTCACGTTCGTCTCCATTTATCCAATTACAATCAGACAAGCGCAGCACAAGAATGACAGAAGTAATAAGACAACCATCGTAAATGCCTCATCTTCAATTCATATTCAGAAATCAAACCTTTTCTATATAAAAAAAAAAGTTATTTTCAAGTGCACAAAATTTGATCTAATTCTTGAACGCGTTTCACATTTGACTCGAATTGAAATTAAAATGCTGACTACGGCCAACGAAACAGTGACTTCCAAACACCCTGTCGAAATACCTTCGACTTTTCAAACGATAGCGACACGTCATTCAAAGCGAGAACCCAACACACACACACACACACACAATGCGATCAATCGATGAGAAAAAAACAAAACGAAACAAAAAACTCACCAATCCAAGACGTCAATCGCCCAAGCGGCGATTGAGCCCTTGCAACACGCTCCACTTTGATTTCACACGACGGCGATTCCGTGAGAGAATCCGTTTGCACGCCGACACTCGTCAGGGCCCCAATGGCCAACTCAAAGCTCCGTCGCTTCAGCTCCTTGTTCTCCTCCGTCAACCGCGACACTTTCGTTTTCAGCGTCTCGCAGTCGCTTTGAAGCCCGTTCAACTGAGACGCGCAGGACGCGTGGTCTCGGGACAAGGAAGAAATGTTCTCCCGCATGTCGCAAGACTCTTGATGCTTGCTGTGCACTTCATGGTTCAGCGCCAGGTTCCGTTCTCGCAAACGTATGTTGTGCTCCTGCAGCTTCCCAATTTCGCTGTACAGCTCTGACTTGTTCTGGATGAGACGCTTGTTTTCTTCTTCCAAAACCTTATTTTACCGAAATTGAATAAAAATAAATTTTTCTTCTTCATGGGATCGCATCAGGGTTTAATGAGCCCGAAAAGACACGATTACTGTCACTTTTCTCTCGACAACGGGATCACCTCGTTTAATGAATTTGAAGCATTCCAGTTGAAAGGCCCTTCATCTGAGTAGTTCATCAACTTAGTTTCGAGTACTGTATGGACAAATCTCAGTTTTGCGCCATAATTTGTCCTGGCACATTTTTTGGCACTAAGTAAAGTAGCCGCTAAATCAAGGACATTGTCAGAGAAGAAGGTTTAGTTCGGGGTTCCTAATATAAACGAATTGAGCTTATTCACAGAATTGTTAGGCCACTGAGTCTGTTTTATAAGAGATAAAGCCACAATAAATAAGTGCATGCTCAAATGTACTGTTTTTATAGTGAATTAAGATATATTTAACGATTGTTTTTGCACAAAAAAAATACGTGGGACTGACACTGATTTTTGTAGCTGATACAAGTGGACCCTCTCTACAACAAATTTGTTTCTGAACCCCTGGATTTCTTCGTAGAGAGTCCACCTGTATCAGCTACAAAAATCAGCGGCAGTTCCAAGTATTTGTTTTAATCAAACTATTTGTTATATTCAAGAGGACAGACAAAATTCGTTCTAGAGAGAATTTCGTCGTGAAGAGCCTCTTTAAAAAGGGGAGAAAACCTTATGGGGCCAAAATAAAAAAAAAATCGTCGGAAAGAGAAAAGTGTTGTACACAAGATCGTTGTAGAGAGTTCGCATGTACAGTATTTCGGCATATTTAACATGACAGAATGTATTAGATTTTTAAGTCTATTTTCTCAAGGAAAAGGGCAGAGCCTTTTCGTCAACTCTTGTTCGAGTTTAAAATCAGGTTCCAGCATAAAGGAATCGCCAGTGTTTCCAGGAAAACTCCCTCTTTACAAGATTTTCAATGGAAGAATGCGACAAGCTACGACAAAATACAATATTTTCCAACACTGTAAATCCAGAAATAGAATGTTCAAAATTATACTGACTTCCTATGCGAGCATGGGCATGTGAATCTCAGTAAAATACAGTAATAACCCAATGATATCCCTACATATACAATTTACTTGATTTTGGCTAATTTTTAATTCCAGGAAAAGGCATTTTTTGTTGCACCAAGTGAGTTGACATTACATTGGGGCTTTCTTTACAAGCACGATGTAGGGGAGATTCGTGTCACTGAGAGGGCAACACTAAATGAGGGGTTGACCGCGCAGTTTGCAGTGCTGCAAACTAAGAGGAATGGCCTCCATATCCCCCAAAAATGCCCTTAACCAAGTCATGTTACGGTAAATGGAACGACTATTCCCGCTCGAAAATTTTCACAGTAATAAATATTCAACACAGAATGTCATTGAATAACGGCAAGAATATTGAAAAAAATAATAAGGACGCCAAACTTTCATTACCTGTATCCTCGCTTGCTGCTTTTGACAACGATCTTTCATGTGCTTCAGCGCAATCTGCAGCGCGTAATTGGAGTCGTCCTTCCCCAACTTTTGCTGCGAAGCATCGTTACATCTTCTGATGATGTCATCGAGTTGCGATGACGCCTTCGAATCATTATTCGGAACTTCCTCGGCATTCCCTTGATCTAGTTTCCGGTTCATCGCGAAGCATTCAACACGTCACAAGGTACAAAAAAGACTAGCGTCATAATTAGGAACTCTGAAAACACGAGAGAAAGAAAACGAGATTAACAACAGACCAGATTATCGCACATTAATGAGGATAATAATCTAAATCGTCAAAGTGAAATTATTTTGGCTTCAAAAGGCGAGCACGAAAATCAATCAACAATCGAGATAAAGACTGTATTCATGCCGAAGCCAGATCTGGTTTGAGTATATTCACTCGGATTGCACATAGAATCTCCCTTCAAGAACTGACACGAGTTTATCGCGAAAAAACCATCTGCTTTTCCGCAAAATCTACTGTTGAATTCATTAATATCACTCTTACGGTAAACTTTGGATTCGGTTGTCGCAAATGGAAAAATTTCCGCACAACGAACAAAACAACTTCACATCAGCATCAACAGATCACAAAAATTTTCAAAACCAAAACACATCGTGGAACACAATTTCAAACAAAAATTGGCACAACTCTGTCCTGAAGAACTGAACCATGCTGAAAATTCTCGGAGTAACATTTCATTTCCTCAGCTGTCCGATCTCACTTCCTGGAACGTCACCGAACACAAACGAACTTTACGCACACCTCACAAAAAATTTGACATAATTCAAGCGACATACATTTGAAAATGCAGAAAAGCCTTGAGTCAGAGAACTTGGCCGTAAACTAACGGGACTTGAACTGAAATTTAAAGGCATTCACGGAAGTTTAACCAATTTAGGGAAAACTTACCTTAAATTAATAAATAAATAAATAATTAGAGGCTCAGGAAAAGTCAGGTGTTGTAGAAAATTTCTTCAGGAGATTCACTGAGAACTTGGGGCTTGAGAGCAATGAAATTCGAACACAAGTTTTCAAATACCGGGTCTTCCAGCAGGCAAAATTGAACAACTTTCTTTTGGTGACCTCAAAATGAAGATCACTCAAAAGATATGTTGATCGTTTCAACACAATTTTTTTTTTTTCATTTTCGAGTCTCTTATGGAGCATTATTCAGACTTTCCACTTAGAAAAAAGACTGAAATTACAAAGAGGAGCAATTTTTTGAAAAAATGCATGCAAAACATAGCGCAAAAATTTTTTGGCTTTCCCTCGCATGTATCGGAAATTCCACCAAGTGACTGTTGTAGCGTGATTTCTTCAGGCCACACGATATACCTCATATTTTCTTGGCATTTTGAGGCAAATGAATGTATGCATCAGCTACATCCTTGAAAATGAGATAAGGATGATGGCTGCAAACGAGACGCTTCAAGTTCAGGTACGATCGTGGGTAAGACGCAGGAGGGGTAACATCGACTGCATTGAATCCTGGTTTTGCGGCAGTTGTTTCATTTTCTTCGATCGTTTCAGCAGAATCTAAGCATTGCCATAAAAAAAATTATTTAAAGAGAGCTCACATTTCCGATTAGAAATGAACAGTGAGATAATGACAATCATCAGAAATTCTTCAATTAATGAATCAAGTTATTTGATATGCGATTGTCGACAATTTTACTGCACGTAGAACGGTTTTTTTGGAGACAAAGAATACACATGACTCGTACTAACGAGTCGAAATATGCGCTCCAAAAGTACTTCCAAAAGTTTCAAGAACTGCTCAAAGAAGCCACAAAATCTATCTCCAGAACAAACCCAGAAATATCAGGCAAATTGTCACAAATGTTAATGCGAACAGCAAGAATTTCAGATTTGAAAGCAATGAATGCATTTGGCCTCAGTTGAAGGAGATTTCGCTTGAGCTCCGAACACTTCCCAGATTATCTTCCATTTTAATTTTTTTTTAATCGCTCAGGATTTTCAATGTGAACAGAGGCACAACTGTTTCAACTTTTTACATTCTTGCGATTTTTCAAGTCGGTTGAAAACTTGAGAACTAGAGCAAAAAACGACTGCAGCATTCCTTATCAGAAAAATTGAAACAGGGGGGAAAATATGTTGCTCCTTTTTTCTTTTTATCGGTGAAGACGGAGGACTAGCTAAAATACCCTGCGAAAAACCAGTTTGAAAATGATATACTGTACTCACTAGATAGTGCGAGAGTGGAATGAAGTACAAGCAAAGCGCAATGGCCACTCCGATACTGATCAGGATGCACGATCCAACCAAGAGCTTAGGATCAGGACCAGCTAAAAAAAAATATATAAAACAAATTGGAAGTACTGTAGAATCAATACGTCGTATTTACGTGATTACGTATTGCACTTTGATTTTCAAAGACATTTGAAGACAGCGAAAAAGAGTACGGGTTCCAATTGGACAACAATCGAAAATATTGGAGAAGAAAATGCGACCAGTACACCCAT